CCATTCTCCTGCCTCAGCCTTCCAAGTAACTGGGACTACAGGCGTGTGCCACCATGCCCAGCTAATTTTTGTATTTTAGTAGAGACAGGGTTTCACCATGTTGGCCAGGATGGTCTCGATCTCTTGACCTCATGATCTGCCCACCTCAGCCTCCCAAAGTGCTGGGATTACAGGTGTGAGCCACCACACCCAGCCTGATGGATTCTTTTTTTTAGGTGTTGGCATTCTGGGTAGTCTGAGATTGACACCATTCATCACAAATGGAGGAGACAGCTTTTAACAGGGAATTAAGTGAGTGGTTTATCCATCCCATCTCTGACCATCTGGAAAGTTCCTCCCTCAGCTGTCCTCAGGATTTGATCTGAGATTGGTGGCATTCCAGATCTCACTAACTCTGGCCTCCATTACAACTGTTTCAGTACTGACTGAGTGGTTAAGTTAAATATTAAAAGCTGGCCGGGTGCAGTGGCTCTCACACCTGTAATCCCAGCAGTTTGGGAGGCCAAGGCGGGTGGATCACCTGAGGTGAGGAGTTCGAGACCAGCCTGGCCAGCATGGTGAAATCCCATCTCTACTAAAAATACACAATTTAGCCAGGCATGGTGTCAAGCACCTGTAATCCCAGCTACTCAGGAGGCTGAGGAGAATCGCTTGAACCTGGGAGATGGAGGCTGTGGTGAGCTGAGATCACACCATTGCACTCCAGCCTGGGTAACAGGAGCGAAACTCCTTCTCAAAAATAATATTAATAAATAAAGTTAATCACTGTATATGTCTTTAGATGAATGCACACTTACACGTAGACATTAGCTTAGAAGGTATATAAGCTCTGGAAAACTTTGTAATTTTGAGTTGATCTGGCAATATTTTCCAGGTCTTCTCCCTATAACTGGTTACAGAAATAAAAACTTCCAGCCGGGCGCGGTGGCTCACGTCTGTAATCCCAGCACTTTGGGAGGCCGAGGCGGGTGGATCACGAGGTCAAGAGATCGAGATCATCCTGGTCAACATGGTGAAACCCTGTCTCTACTAAAAATAAAAAAAATTAGCTGGACATGGTGATGCGTGCCTGTAATCCCAGCTATTCAGGAGGCTGAGGCAGGAGAATTGCCTGAACCCATGAGGTGGAGGTTGCGGTGAGCTGAGATCGCGCCATTGCACTCCAGCCTGGGTAACAGGAGCGAAACTCCGTCTCAAATAAATAAATACATACATACATACATACTTCCTCCTTTCCCAGTTCATCTGCCTCTCATTATTGGGCCACAAGACTAAGCAGCCCAACCCTCAGCTTGGTCCGGGAACAGTTGTCCAATTTTTTGCTGCCTTGTTTTTTTCTCATCTCCTCAGCTGAAGCTACTGGGTCAGTTTGACTTATTACAGACCATAGGCATGGGAGGAAGAAGAGGGTTGAGGAACGAGTGTTTCTTCATCCAAGCGCTCAATTTAAAAAAAAAGTATTTTATTGAACTGCAGAGGAGAAAGGGCTTAATTTTTTAACATTTATTTTTATTTTTTCTTAGTAACAAGTCAGGCAGAACCAATTATTACTAGTTTCAATTGAGTAAAATATAGTTGCTAACAGTAACAAAAGAACAACCCAATTAGAAATCGGCAAAGGACTTGAACAGACATTTCTCCAAAGAAGAAATACGAGTTGTCAGTACACACATGACATTTCTAATCATTAGGGAAATGCAAATCAAAATCACCATGAAACCACAGGCATTAGAGTATCTTTTATTTTGAAAAGAAAAAGAAAACAAGTGTTGATGAGGATGTGGAGAAATTGTAACACTTGCACCTTGCTGGTGGAATGTAAAATGGTACAGATGCTATGGAAAACTATGACAGTTTCTCAAAAAAATTAAAAATAGAACCACCATACAATCTGGCAATTTTTTTTTTTTGAGATGGAGTCTCTGTGGTGTAGGCGGATATGCAGTGGTGTGATCTCTGTTCATTGCAACTTCCACCTTCCAGATTCAAGTGATTTTCCTGCCTCAGCCTCCCAAGTAGCTGGGATTACAAGGCATGTGTCACCATGCCCAGCTAATTTTTTGTTTTTTGGTTTGTTTTTTTTTTTGAGACAGAGTCTTGCTTTGTCACCCTGGCTGGAGTGCAGTGGCGCGATCTTGGCTCACTGCAACCTCCGCTTCCCAGGTTCAAGCGATTCTCCTGCTTCAGCCTCCCAAGCAGCTGGGACTACAGGCACCTGCCACTATGCCTGGCTAATTTTTGTATTCCTAGTAGAGACAGGGTTTCACCATGTTTGCCAGCTGGTTGCAAACTCCTGACCTTATGATTGACCCGCCTTGGCCTCCCAAAGTGCTGAGATAACCATGTGAGCCACTGCACCCAACCAATTTTTTGTATTTTTAGTAGAGATGGGTTTTCACCATGTTGGCCAGGCTGGTCTCAAACCCCTGAGCTCAGGTGATCTGCCCAACTTGGCCTCCCAAAGTGCTGGGATTACGAGCATGAGCCACAGTGCCTGGTCCCTGATCTGGCCTTTTTTTTTTTTGGAGATGGAGTCTCACTCTGTTGTTTAGGCTGGAGTGCAATGGTGCAATCTCGGGTCACTGCTCAGGTCACTGCAACCTCCACCTCCCAAATCAAGTGATTCTCCTGCCTCAGCTTTCCGAGTAGCTGGGACCACAGGTGCTCACCACCATCCCTTGCTAATTTTTGTATTTTTAGTAGAGATGGGATTTCACCATGTTGGCCAGGCTGGTCTCTTAACTCCTGACCTCAGGTGATCCGCCTGCCTCAGCCTCGAAGAGTCCTGGGATTACAGGCATGAGCCACCGCACCCAGCCTGATCCGGAAATTCTTATGGTTATATGCCAAAGATAATTGAAAGCACTACCTCCAACAGATATTTGTGCACTCAGGTTCACAATAGCCAAAAGGTAGAAACAACAAATAAATGCGTAAACAAAATGTGCTATACACATACAATGGAATTTCATTCAAGATTCTGACACATAAGACAATGTGGATGAACCTTGAGGACATTATGCTAAGTGAAATAAGCCAGTCATGAAAGAACAAATTCTGTGTGATTCCACTTATACGAGGTTCCTAGAGCAGTCAAATCCAGAGACAGAAAGTAGCGCCATGGTTGCCGGGAGTTATGGGGATGGAGAAATAGTGAGTTAGTGTTTAATTGGTAAGGAGTTTCAGATCGGGAAGATGGAAAAGTTTTGGAGATGGATAGTGGCGATGGTTGTACAATAATGTGAATGTATTTAGTGCCACTGAATTTTACACTTGAAATTGTTAAAATAGTAAATTTTATGTTATGTGTATTTTACCAAAATAAAAAAATCACCCGGGTGTGGTGCTTTTGCCTGTAATCCCAGCACTTTGGGAGGCTGAGGTGGGCAGATCACCTGAGGTCAGGAGTTCGAGACCAGCCGTGGCCAACATGGTGAAACCCCATCTCTACTAAAAATACAAAAATTAGCTGGGCATGGTGGCACGTGCCTGTAAATCCCAGCTACTTGGAAGGCTGAGGCAGTAGAATTGCTTGAACCCGGGAGGTCAAGGTTGCAGTGAGCTGAGATCATGCCACTGTACTCCAGCCTGGGTGACAGAATGAGACTGTCTCAAAAAATAAATAAATTAGGTCAGGTACAGTGGCTCACACCTGCAATCCCAGTCCTTTTGGAGACTGAGATGGGCAGATTGCTTGAACCCAGGAGTTCAAGACCAGCCTGCGCAACGTGGTAGAACCCCGTCTCCACCAAAACAAAACAAAAAAAACAGTGGGCATGGTGATGTGCACCTGTAGTCCCAGCTACTTGGGAGGCTGAGGTGGGGGAGGATTGCTTGAGCCCAGGAGTTCATGGTAAAATCCTATCTCCACCAAAATAAAACAAAAAAATAACTGGGAGTGGTGACATGCACCTGTAGTCCCAGCTATTTGGAAGGCTGAGGTGAAGGGAGCATCGCTTGAGTCCAGGAAGGTGAGGCTGCAGTGAGCTGAGATTGCACAGCTATACTGCAGCCTGGGTGACAGAGCCAGACCCTGTCTCAAAATAAATAAATACAATTAGTTAATAAAGGAACAAACCCAATGTCAGTCGCTGTGTTTGGTGCTCTGCTTACTTTTCTCTTGGAAACAGCAACGTGTGGAAGCTGCTATGCTATTGCAACCTAAGCTTTGAGGTCAGAGTCTCTCAGCTGTGAAATTCTGCTGGGTGCTGGGGGGTAGTTTAGGAGCATAATCCTCATAGTTGGAGAGGAAATGTTTTCTGGGGAAAATACAAGGCAGGAGTGGATTAAGCACTTGCCAAGAGTGTGAGTTAGTGTTTAATTGATATGGAATTAAGCACTAATTAAAAATACAAAAATTAGGCTGGTGTGGTGGTATGCACCTGTGGCTACTTGAGAGGCTGAGGCAGGAGAATCACTTGAATTTGGGGAGATAACTTGATGGAACCCCGTGGGAGAAACTATTTGTTAGATGTGGGAAAGGGGAGAGGAGCAAAGAGATGGACCACAGGGTCTTCCCCACCTTCTTGGATTCTCTCTGCAGCTCACGGTGGCCCCCACAGCTCCCCAATGTTCTGGCCATATCCCCAGGCTTAAGGAGGAGGAAAGGAAGGTTCCTCTCATGCCTCAGACCCTGGCCCTGCACTCAGTCCACCATTCCCAGCAGCAATGTCAGGAAGACGTTTTCACCAGCAAGCCAGCGCTCACCTCTGTATGTGATTCTCCTCACCCACATCTCTAGTGTGTCCAGGTTGCTGCCGATCAGAGTGGGGCGACGTGTCGGTGACAGCTTCCCCAGCTTCCATCATAACCCCCCACTTCAAGCCTCCCTTCCCCACTTCTCCCCTTGACCACCTGTTCTGCCTAACTTCACCTCTCCCCGCCGCCTCTCCCCACTGGAAGGTTTATTGTTACCCACTCACTTTCATGACTCCACCCACTCACTTTCATGACTCCACCCACTCACTTTCATGACTCCACCTACTCTGCTTCCATTTCAGTTGCTTCAGTGTGGGACTAAGAGCTGAAGGACTGGATGCCCCGTTCTCCAGGAGCTGTGGGGGCTTTCACTGGGCATGTGCCCACTCACCCACTGTGACCTGTTGACCTGGTGATGTGTATTCCCTGGGAGAGGCCATCTCACTTGTTTCCTCTCTGGATTCCTCCTTGGAGTGCTGGAAGGTGAGAGGAAGTGAGGATCAGGCAGGGGCTGGGGCTAATAGGCACCCGCGGAAGACTTCCAGTAGACAAACCCTATGCAGGAAGACCTTTACCACACTCATGGCTGTGAGTTAGATCTTCTTGGATTTGCCTCAAGGCTTCCCTAAGAATCTTTTCTCTTTTCTTTTCTTTTGAGACAGAGTTTTTGCTCTTGTTGCCCAGGCTGGAGTGCAACGGTGTAATCTTGGCTCACTGCAATCTTCGCCTCCCAGATTCAAGCAATTCTCCTGCCTTAGCCTCCCAAGTAGCTGGGACTACAAAAATTAGCCACAACGTCCAGCTCATTTTTGTATTGTTAGTAGAGATGGAGTTTCACCATTTTGGCCAGGCTGATCTCAAACTCCTGATCTCAGGTGATCCTCTTGCCTCGGCCTCCCAGAGTGCTGGGATTACAGGTATGAGCCACTGAGCCTGGCCATAATCTTTTCTTTTATTAAGTGTCCATCTAAAATAGGCTTCAAGTTACCTGTGGCAGCTGGAGACCCTACTGTTAGCAAGTAAGGAAAATAACCATCAGCTTCTTTACTCCCCAGATGCTGGGCGGAGGGGAACACAGGCCAGAAAATACTACTACTAATGATTGTGATAAAGAGCTCCCAGGGGCCAGATGTGGTGGCTCAAGCCTGTAATCCCAGCACTTCTGGAGGCCAAGGTGGGAGGATTGCTTGAGCCCAGGACTTTGATACTAGCCTGGGCAACATGGCAAGATCCTGTCTCTATAAAATATAAAAAATTAGCCAGGCATGATTGTGTGGGCCTGTGGTCCCAGCTACTTGTGAGGCTGAGGTGGGAGGATCACTTGAATTTGGGAGGATCACTTGAGTATATAGTGAGGTGTGATCGTGTCACCTGCACTCCAGCCTGGGCAACAGCGCAAGGCCCTGTGTTAAAAAAAAAGCGGCTGGGCATAGTGGCTCATGCCTATAATCTCAACACTTTGGGAGGCCGAGGCAGGTGGATCACGAGGTCAAGAAATCGGAGACCATCCTGGCCAACATGGTGAAACCCCATCTCTACAAAAAATACAAAAATTAGCTGGGCATGGTGGTGCACAATTGTAGTCCCAGCTACTCAGGAGGCTGAAGCAGGAGAATCGCTTGAATCCGGGATGCAGAGGTTGCAGTGAGCCAAGACTGCGCCACTGTACTCCAGCCTGCATGATGGAGCAAGACTCCATGTCAAAAAAAAGGCTCCCCAGGACCCAAGGAAATTGCCCAGAAGTTTTCTAAAGAGGCTCCCTATTGCAACTCTGCAGAGGAACAGGCTGTGCTGCTGCCCCTGCTTTAAGGATGCTTGCAGTTTGCTCCTGCTATCTCACTAAAATCTGCTGAGCCCTGCACTGATGGCTCCCGCCCCCTCTCAGTGAAGATGCCAAGAAGCAGCAGCCAAGCAGCAGTCGTGGCTGCCTCCCAGCGGCCCCAGCTGTAATCTTCTGTTCAAGGTGCCCACACCAGATCTCAGCTGCAGCAAGCAGACAGGCTTCAGCTGCCCTAAGAGCTGGCTCTGCAGCTGGTGACTCAGCGGGGGTTGGTGTGGGGAGGGAGTGGGGGTTGGCCATTGGGGCCTGAGGGGCCAGCACTGGTGACAACAAAGGCCAGGGGATGTTGTGCAGAAGACCGGAAGCTGAGTCCCCAGAACAAGCCTAGCAGCAGAACTGCAATTGAATAAATCCCCAGTAATTCCATTTATGCCACTGAATCCTCCCTGTGGGTTCAGAAAAACAGAACCTTGCTTCGTGCTTCCTAAAAATGCAGCAAGATGCATTTGGTTCCTAAAAATGAACCAAGGTCTAAATTCCACAGCCAAGTGACCCCTCTTTCTCTTTTCTGCTACCCACCTTCCCCCCAACACACACACACACCCTCAAGTCCACAAGAACATCCAGAATGATGTGGGTGGAGATTTTCCTTTGTTTTTATTTTGGAGAGGAAGGGCTAGAGGAAAAAGATGATGCCAGCACAGCAGGCACTAGAATGGCCCCCGCACATGCAGAATACATGGACACTCACGCTGGATTAGCGACTCAGCAAATATGCCCCAAGGAGAGAATGTCACCAGAGCTGCAAAAGCTCCCCCCCCAACTTTTATTAGTTTTAAGACCCACACCCCACACCCACCCCAGGTCACCTTGTCATTCTCAGTAGGCAGACCTCCTACCAAACTGGGCTTTTACTCCTGTGGGCTTAGCGCCAGATCCCCGCCCCCCCAAATAAACATGCACCCTCTGAAGTAAAAGGGAAATTGACAGGATGCTGGAATGCAGAGAGATGGTACGCTTCGTTTTTCATCATCCACCAGCTTGGGAGAAAGGCCGCCTTCCATCATACCAGTAAGAGGTGGGAAAGAGTGTTTGGGCCCTTTCCTATCTCCCAGGCCTTGTGTAACAAGGCTCTGGCTGCTCACACTCCAGCCCTGCCTGACTTTAAACAAACCCAGTCCATAGCCTTCCACCTTTTCCCTCGGGAAAAAGGCATTTGAGAGCTCACAGATATAGTGCTCAACCAATTATCCAAACCAACATCTTCTCTTGCTCAGCTTCTGTTTTACCCAAAGGTCTCATCCTGCTCCCCCAAGGGGATTTCTGATATCTGAAACCACCAAACCTAACTCTAGGCCTCCCCACAATGTATGGGCCCCATGGAATGTATTTATTTCATTGCCGTAACCTCTTGCCACCCAGCCTCCCTGCATTCCCCCAGAGTGGTCTTGGGTTTTTCTCGGCATCTCTCTCGGTGGCTTGCTGTGGTGTCCTGACTCGGAGGTGTCCAGGGTGGCCAGGGAAGTGTCAGGTGCCTTTGCTTTCTGTCCTCTCCTCGTCAGCTGTCTGAGCGTTGCTGACAGTGCGAAGCTGCCCCTGGGCTGCAGGCTTCACGGACAGGACCAAGCGTTTGCGGAATGTCTCACAGAGCACGATGTACACAAAGGGGTTAAGGCAGCTGTTGGCGTAGCCCAAGCTGATGGCTGCATTGTACAGGTAGACAAAGGTGAGGGTGGGGCGGCTGATGGACAACTGGGTCAGCTGTAGCACATAGTAGGGCGCCCAGCACACAAAGAAGACCAGGCAGATGGCAATGGCTGTGCGGGTCACCCTCTTTGTCCGTAGCCGGATGCTGCGCTGGGAGGCGGGAGCCACTGAGGATGTCATGCGCTGCAGGATCCTCACATACGCAGCCGTGATGACTACAAAAGGCAGGGCAAAGGCCAGGAAAAACTGGTACAGGGTGAACCAGTAGAGGTCAGTGTCCGGGTTGGGCAGGCGGATGCCACAGCCCACGGCACCTCCTGGGAAGGGGATGAGTCTGGCATAGAGCCACACCGGGGTGATGCTGATGAAGGAGAGGGCCCACAGGAGGCAGATCACCAGGGTGGCCACAGAGGGCTTCCGGAACTTTGTGGAGGAGATGGGGTGGACGGTGGCCAGATAGCGGTCAATGGCCATGGCGGTCAGGATGTAGGTGCTGGTGAACTGACTGTTGGCATCCATGGCCGTGATGAGGGTGCACATGGTCTCCCCAAAGTGCCACACCCCGTTGCCCATGAGCTGGTGGATCATGAAGGGCATCCCCAGGAGAAAGAGGAGATCCACCACCGACAGGTTGATGATGAAGATGTCGGGGACATTACTGCACCAGTGCAGCTTGGACTTCTTCACCACCGCAAAGATGACCGTGGAGTTCCCGACGATGCCCAGGAGGCAGATGGTGCCGAACACAGAAGGCATGATGATGTTGATGTAGGAGCTCCCCGTGCGAGAAGGGGATCCTGGGGATGGAAGGAGCAAGCGTCAGCCGTTTGACAGGGGCTCTGCTCTAAGAACTGACATCCTGCCAGCATGCTCAGCCTCCAGCGACCCACCGTTCATCTGGAATCCTCTCCATTCTCCCTCCCTTCACCGTTGCTAATCTCATCCCCTGTCCCCTTGCTCTCCTCCTCCATAGCTTTCCTGGTGAATCCTACCAGATTCCCCTGAGCCACGCGTCGTGGAAGGACACGACTCGCCTGCCTCCTGCAGGCACCAGAGGTGAGAACCACAGCTGTCTGCAGAGATGACTCCGTGCGGCCCGGGCTTCACCAGGAAACCTCGTCAAAATAGCCAGAAGGACACAAAAGTAAGTGAGGTGTGTGTGTGTGTGTGTGTGTGCTTTTCTTGTATGCAGCCCTGAGTGTTTTATTTTGGAGATATCTGGTTGGAAACTCTACTGATTCTTGGGCATCTCTGTGGGCGACTGTCTTGTAGAGGCTTGCCGGCTGTGCCCGGGTCAAGCCAGCAGCCCTCCCAGCCCCAGGCTTCCTAGCAGGGATTTCCTTGATTGGCATCTTCTGAGCCTGGGCTTCCTGAGTGAAGCAGAGACAGAAGCTGTGTGTTGCAGCTCAGCAGCCTGAAAAAAGGCTCCACATAAACCCTTCCTTTCCTTCTCCTTCAAAGCTGGAATCCCAGGGCGTCACAGCTCTGGAAATGTCAGGAAGCTTAATTCACCAGAAAAGTTAATCCCCTCATGGTTCCATGAAGTCTTCCCTTCCCAGGGTCTCTCCCGGGGGCAGTAGGGATGCCTCAGACCTCATCACCCAAATGTGAGTAAAAAGCCGAGGCTAACGGTGCAGAAGGGAGCCTCCTGCTGTCTCCCACAGACCACCCTCCAGCTTCTCTCGCTTGCTTTTCCAGCCTGGAATTTTTTCTCCTAAGCATCTTTGGAACCCAGCAGCGAGCTTTCCCCTGCTGCCTCGTGGCTGGCCCCCTTCTTTGCCATTCTGAACGTGGCTTTGCCCGCTGCTCTGCTTCTGCCCGTCTGCCCCTGCGGGCCCCTGACCCCTTCACTCCTGCCCCTTGGGCAAAGCAGACCATGGATGTTGTCCCGGAGAACTGTAACAAAGTTTCCCAAGCAGTTTAGCTCAGGGGTGAAAGCTTCCCATTTCCCACCCGCAACCCGGAGGAGGGAGGATTCCTGGTCAACTCAACTCACCTGCCGAGGTGAGGTTGTTGGGGCCATCAGAGGTATTGCTGGCGTTGGGGCCAGTGGACAGCAGCGAGGCTTCCAGGTCCATCCAGCCAGTGCCGGTCTCCTGCTCCCCCAACTGAGCTGAGCTCCCCTCTGCCCACGCAGGCTGCGGCAGCCTCCAGTGCCGGCCACCTTGTCCCGGAGCAAAAGCCCCACAGTCAGGAAGGGGGTCTTCCTCAGCAGCCTGGCAGCCTCTGCCGTCTCCAAGCCCAACTGCCCTCCCCACTCCCTCCTTCCCGGCTCCCACTGACATCACCTAGACACATTAACATTCGGAGGCAGATGCACATTAACCTCTTCAGTCCCGGGCTGCGGCTGGCTGCCACTTCTGAACGCCTGCAAAGCCCCAGGGCCCTGGGGAAGCTGGGAGGGACTGGGTACAGGCAGCCCCATCGGGAAAGGGATCCTTCTCACTGATACTTGGAACTGTCTCCTGTGCTTACAGGGGCTGCCGCTTGCCTTGAATGGGGATCGAGGTCTGTCTCTGCAAAGGCAAACGGGAAAGCAAACGGGCTGCCTCTCTTTGGAGGAGAGAGCAGCCTGGCTTAGCCCCTATCCCAGGTACAAGTGGCTGGGCCACATGGCAGGGTCCAGGGGTAACTGTGCACAGAGTTGGGAATCAAAGGCTTAGACTGCAGCAGGGCTGCCCCTCACACACACTCAGGTCACCCTCAGCCCCTTCCCCATGCCTTGACGCCTTCCAACCATCTTTCTGGCTATGCCACCAGTGTCCTGCAGAAGCTGAGGAGTCGGCTGCTGAATCCTTACCTGGCCCTTAGAGGTGATGCAGGTCACTCCATGCTGGCAGTAGCCAGGACTTCAGGGACCCGAAGGGGACAAACTCCCATCTGCATGGGATTTGCCTGGACCAGGCTCACAGACGTTTTATTTCTCTAAATGTTCTGAGGTCCCTAAGGTTTGACCTGGGAGTCTTTGAAACAAATATCCGAGCACGAGCCCCCAAAGAGATCATCCCAGAGCATCAGCCTCAGTGGGAAAGGCATTGAGTGAATTTTCCACAGAGGCGTCCTGCTGCCAGCCTCTGGGGCCCTCACAGCCAGGAGCTGCCACTGTCCCCACCACCGGACTCAGGAGCCAGGGGCTGAGGTTCACACGGATCCCTACATGCGTCCTCTGTCTTGCCTACTTACGGGGCTCATTCAACAAACATTTACTGAGTACTTACTACCTGCCAAGCACTGTTCCAGGTACTGCAGTTAAAAAAACATAGTGGGGGGAGGGGGAGGGACAAAGTCCCATCCTCGTGAAGATTGCATTCAAGCTGGGGGCAGACAGAAAACATAACCCCCGAAAGACAATTCATGATATTGGCGATTACTATGAAAAATTTAAAGCAGGGTGAGCCAGCAGGCGAATACCAGGAGAGGTGGAGGTTTCTACTTTATGGAGGACTGATCATCAAGGAAGGCCTCACAGAGAAGCGCTTCTAGAAAAGTCTTGAAGGAAGTGAGGAAGCATGCTTAGAAATATTCTGGAGGACCAGCATTCCTGGAAATCACCAGTGCAAAGGCCCTGCGGCAGGAGTGTGCAGGGTGACTCTGGAGAACACTGCAGCTACAGTAGAGATCATTAGAGAGGTGACATTAGAGAGGAAGCAGCGGGAAGGGCAGATTCTGCCATGCCTTGCCAGCCAGTATAAGCACTTTTGCTTTTCCTTTAGTGGAAACGGGAGTCACCAGGGGGTTTTCAGCTGAGAAAAGACATGATCAGACATGTTTCGAAAGGATCCGTCTGAGCTGAGGTGGCTCACACCTGTAAATCCCAGTACTTTGGGAGGTGGAGGTGGGGGAACAGCTGAGGTCAAGAGTTCAAGACCAGCCTGGCCAACATGGTGAAACCCTGTCTCTACTAAAAATAAAAAAATTAGCCAGATGTGATGGTAGGTGCCTGTAATCCCAGCTACTCAAGAGGCTGAGGCCGGAGAATCACTTGAACCTGGGAGCCAGAGGTTGCAGTGAGACAAGATTGCAAATTGCACTCCATCCTGGGCAATAAGAGTGAAACTCCATCTCAAAAAAAAAAGGATCAGTCTGCTGCTGGGTAGCCAGGGAACAAGTTGAAAAGGTGTTTTAGGCTGGGTGCGGTGACTCATGCCTATAATCCCAGTACTTTAGGAGGCCGAGGTGGGTGAATCACCTGAGGTCAGGAGTTTGAGACCAGCTGGCCAACATGGTGAAACCCCTTCTCTACTAAAAATATAAAAATTAGCTGGGCATGGTGGCATGCACCTGTAATCCCAGCTACTCAGAAGGCTGAGGCAGGAGAATCACTTGAACCTGGGAGGCAGAGGTTGCAGTGAACTGAGATCGTGCCATTGCATTCCAGCCTGGGTGACAGAGCAAGACTGTCTCCAAAAAAAAAAGAGAGAGAGAGAGAGAAGGTGTTTTAGCTTGGGTTCCCTTGAAAGCAAAGCCTGAGAGCAGGTTGTGCATGTGCCTGGTTTGTGTGGGAAATAATCCAAGGTGCAGGTGTCAGGGAGTGGAGTCAATGAGATGGGAAAGGAGGAAAATACAATAGGAGGGTGTGTTTCAATCCAATAGGAGGGTGTGTATGGCTGCTGTGGACAACGGGGGCTTGAGATCTCCAGGATCCTGAAAAAGGATGGTCTCCCAGCATCGTCGGCCTGAAGGATGAGAGGCAGGAACATTTATCCATTGCTCTGCCCCCCACTGGTGAGGATTGCTCCTGGGAGGTTAAATTGGCACTTCTGGGCGCACAGCAGAGCGGGCTCCTGTAGCATCCAGCTCGTATGGTGCAGAAAGCAAAAAGATGTGCAGCTCTCACTTCAGGCAAGAGGCTGGAAGCATTCACCATGGGTGTGGCTGAAGTCAGAGTGGCAGAGGGAGTGTGATGCAAAAGGCGCCAGAAGTGTCGCACGCAGGCCACCGCTTGTCTGCTCAGATCCACTCATGCCCCACTTGACTCTCTGGCGGCATTTTCAGGGTAGGAGCTGGCTGCAGTCTCTACAACACTTGTGTGTGTGTGTGTGTGTGTGTGTGTGTGTTTATAATTTCAACTTTTATTTTATGTATGTATGTATGTATTTTGAGACAGAATCTCACTCTGTTGACCAGGCTGGAGTGCAGTGATGTGATCTCAGCTCACTACAGCCTCCACCTCCTGGGTTCTAGCAATTCTCCTGCCTCAGCCTCCCAGGTAGCTGGGATTACAGGTGTGCACCACCACATAAGGCTAATTTTTGTATTTTTAAAAAAATCCCAGCTACTCAGGAGGCTGAGGCAGTAGAATTGCCTGAACCCAGGAGGCAGAGGTTGCGGCGAGCCAAGATTGTGCCATTGCACTCCAGCCTGGGTAACGAGAGTGAAACTCCGTCTCAAAAAATAATAAATAATAATAATAATAATAATTTTTGTATTTTTAGTAGTGATGGGATTTCACTGTATTGGCCAGGCTGGTCTTGAACTCCTGACCTCAAGCGATCCACCCACTTCGGCCTCCCAAAGTGCTGGGATTACAGGTGTGAGCCACTGCACCCAGCCAACTCTGCCGAGTTCTCAACATATTCTTCCCTGCCCCATGGCGTAGCAGCATCCCTGGTTCTTCACACTAATCAGAGTTGGTTATTCCTACCAGCAGGGTTACTCCATTCTTGCCCTCTTGGTCCACCAGCCTGAGGAGCCACATGGAACCAGATGGTCATTGAGCTTCAGGTTCAGTGGAACTCTCCCTGTGAATCCTAGTGAAGCACCCCTCCTCTCTGATGCCCCCTGATTCACACAGTCCTTGTCATGTTAGTTCTTCCCTGGAGAACTTAGTTAATGGGTTCTCTAGTTTCACCTAGTAAATCCCATTCTAACACTTCCAGTTCCCTGAGTCTTCTGACCTCTTTCTCAAAACTCTGCTAAGACAGCCAGGTGTGATGGCTCACACCTATAATCCCAGCACTTTGGGAGGACAAGGCAGGCAGATCACCTGAGGTCAGGAGTTTGAGACGAGCCTGGCCAACATGGTGAAACCATCTCTACTAAAATACAAAAATTAACTGGGCATGGTGGCATGTGCCTGTAATCTTAGCTACTCAGGAGGCTAAGACAGGAGAATCGTTTGAACCAGAGAAGCGGAGGTTGCAGTGAGCTGAGATCACACTACTACATTCCAGTCTGGGCGACAGAGCGAGACTCTGTCTCAAAAAAAAAAAAAAGGTAGAGGCTGGGCGTGGTTGCTCACATCTGTAATCCCAGCACTTTGGGAGGCTGAGGCGGGCAGATCATGCGGTCAGGAGTTCAAAACCAGCCTCACCAGCATGGTGAAACCTCATCTCTCCTAAAAATACAAAAATTAGCTGGGCATGGTGGTGCGTGCCTGTAGTCCCAGCTACTCAGGAGGCTGAGGCAGGAGAATTGCTTGAACCTGGGAGGCAGAGGTTGTGGTGAGCTGAGATCGTGCCACTGCACTCCGGCCTGGGTGATGGAGCCAGACTCCATCTCAAAAACAAACTCTGCTAAGTACCAGCGGATAGGGGAGGCAGGGAGTGAGAAATAATTGTTTAATGGATATGGAGTTTCTGTTTGGGAAGACAGAAAAGTTCTAGAAATTGGCCAAGCATGGTGGCTCACACCTGTAATACCAGCACTTTGGGAGGCTGAGGCAGGTGGATCACCTAGGTCAGGAGTTCAAGACCAGCTTGGCCAACATGGTGAAACACCATCTCTACTGAAAATACAAAAATTATTTAGGTGTAGTGGTGCTTGCTTTTAATGCCAGCTACTTGGGAAGCTGAGGCGGGAGAACCGCTTGAACCCGGGAGACAAATACTGCAGTGAGCTGAGATTGTGTCACTGCATTCTAGCCTAGGCAACAGAACAAGACTCCACCTAAAAAAAAAAAAAAAAGGCGGGAAACAGTGGCTCATGCCTGTAATCCCAGCACTTTGGAAGGCCAATGCAGGTAGATCACTTGAGGTCAGGAGTTCGAAAACAGCCTGGTCAACATGGCGAAACCCTGTGGATATTAAAAATACAAAAAGTTAGCTGGACGTGGTAGTGGCTGCCTGTAATCACAGCTGCTTGGGAGGCTGAGGCAGAGAATCTCTTGAACCCGGGAGGCAGAGGTTGCAGTGAGCTGAGATCGCACCATTGCACTCCAGCCTAGGCAACATGGAGCAAAACTCCGTCTCAAAAAAAAAGAAAAGAATTCTAGAAATAGACAGTGATAATGGCTGCACAACATTGTGAAAGTACTTAACACCACTAAATTGGACACTTAAAAGTGGTTAAAATGATAAATTTTATGTTACGTATATTGTACCACAATATATAAAGGGAAGAGGCAAATTTCGTGTATATTTTACCACACACACAAAATCCCGAAACTCTGCCATGGCCATCTCAGCATCCCCACCTTATTATTATAGGCCATTTCATGGAGCTAGCCCAGAAACATATTAGGACTGGCTCCAACTGCATCCTGCTTTACAGGAGAGTATGCCCTGTCAAGAAACTATCTCCTTTCTTTTTTATTTAATTAATTGACTTTTTTTTTTTTCATCTGAGACAGAGTCTGGCTCTGTTGCCCAGGCTGGAATGCAGTCTTGTGATCTCAGCTCACTGCAACCTCCGCCTCCTGGGTTCAAGTGATTCTCTTGCTTCAGCCTCCCAGGTAGTTGGGATTACAAACGTGTGCCACCATGCTCAGTTAATCTTTAGTAGAGATGGGGTCTCACTATGTTGCCCAGGCTGGTCTTGAACTCTTGGCCTCCAGTGATCCACCTGCCTTGGCCTCCCAAAGTGCTGGGATTACAGGTGTGAGCCACCACGCCTGGTCTATTTATTTGATTTGAGACGGAGGCTCACTCTGTCACCCAGGCTGGAGTGCACTGGCAAGATTTCAGCTCACTGCAACTTCTGACTCCCTGGTTCAAGTGATCCTCCTGCCTCAGCCTCCCAAGTAGCTGGAACTACAGGCACAAGCCATGATGCCCAACTAATTTTGTTTTTTTTTTAATTTTTTGTAGAGACAAGGTGTCACGATGTTGCCCAAGCTGGTCTTGAACTCCTGGGCTCAAGGGATCCTACTGCCTTGGCCTCTCAAGATGCTGGGATTACAAGCATGAGCCACCACACCTGACCAAAACTATCTCCTTTCAATATTATATTTGTACCATAATCTAGCACCCTCACAATCCACTTCTGCCTGGGTGGGGTGTCTCTCACCTGTAATCCAGCATTGTGGGAGGTAGAGGCCAGAGAATCACTTGAGCCTAAGAGTTCAAGACCAGTCTGGGCAACACAGCAAGACCCTCTCTGCCAAAGTTAAAAACTAGCCAGGCATGGTGGTGTGCGACTATAGTCCCAGCTACCTGGGAGTCTGAGGCAGGAGGATTGCTTGAGCCCAGGAAATTGAGGCTGTGGAGAGAATTGTTTGCACCACCACACTTTAGCATGGGTGAAAAAACAAGGCCCTCTCTCTGAGAAAAAAAAAAAAAGATCGATTCCCACACATAATCTTTTTATTTTTTCTGTTTATCTTAGCTGGTCCTGGTCCTCATGGGTGAACTATTTCCTCCAAAAGCAGAGGCTGTATTTCCCATCTCAAGCTACAACACTGACACCTGACCCCAGTGTCAGTGGGGGTCCAGAGCAATGACAGGCTCTCTGTCCTTCCTGTTCAACTGACAGCTGCATCTTCTCGTGCAGCCCCAGTTGTATCCCTAGGGCAACGAGGTGAAGGTGAAGGCGGGAGTGATCAGATTTGTCCGGATTGGGCATCTGGTCACCAGGGCTGCTTTTAACTCTAGCAAAATGGAGATTATCGCCATCATTAACCTCAGCTACATATTTAAGTATGATTCCATCCATGACAAGTTCCATAGCACCATCAGGCTGAAAATGGGAAGCTTGTCATCAATGGAAATCCCATCACCATCTTCCAGGAATGAGATCCCACCAAAATCAAAGGGGGTGATGCTGGCGCTGATTATATTATGGAGCCCACCAGTGTCTTCACTACCATGGAGACGGCTGGGACTCGTTTAGTTGGGGGAGCCAGTGAGTTACCATTTCTGCCCCTTCTGATGCCCCCATGTTTGTGATGGGCGTGAACCATGAGAAGTGTGGAAACAGCCTCAAGATTATCAGCAATGCCTCCTGCACCACCAGCTGCTTAACGCCCTTGGCCAAGATCATCCATGATAACTTTGGCACCACGGAAGGACTCCTGATCACAGTTCAGGCCTTCACTGCTGTGCTGGGATTACAGGTGTGAGCCACTGCATGCAGATTCTACCATTTATTTTCTTCAAGGCTTCCAAGCAGTTAAAAACCCGGAAGAATATTGATGGTCCCTCTGGGAAATTGTAGCATGATGCCACAGGGCTCTCTAGAACATCATTCCTGCATCTATTGGCACTGCTAGGCCTGTGGGTAAAGTCATCCCTGGGATAAATGGGAAGCTCACTAGCAAGGCCGTCCAATTCCCCACCACCGACATGTTGGTCATGGACCTGCCCTGCCCTCTGGCAAAACCTTCCAAATATAGTGACATCAAGACAATGGCGAAGCAGGCATTGGAGGAGCTCCTGAGCTGCACTGACTTTGACAGTGACACCCAGTCTCCCACCTTGAATGCTGGGTCTGGCATTGCCCTCGACAACGACTTTGTCAAGCTCATTTCCGCTACGACAGTGAATTTGGCTACAGCAACAGGATGGTGAACCTTATAGTCCACATGCCCTCCAAGGAGGAAGAGCCCTAGGCCACCAATCCCAGTGAGAGCACAAGAGGACGAGAGAGGCCCTCAGCTGCTGGGGAGCCCTACTGCACTCAGCCTCCACCGCACCGAGCATCTCCCCTTCAGGTTCCATGTCAGACCCCCTGAAGAGGGTGGGGCCTACGGAGACCAACATTGTCATGTACCATTAATAAAGTCCCTGGTACTCTGCCAAAAAAAAAAAAAAAGGCCCCTATACTTCCAACTGTTAAGAGTCAGGAGAAGAAGCAATGAGAGGAAATGAGGCGCATATCTGAGGACAGCTATCCTCCTGCAAGTCAGTTGAATCCTAGCATGACTTCCAGACAAGGGCAGGCTGCTCTCCTCTAGCAAGGGAGAGAGGGTTGCTTTTGCTGGCCTGGAACGTTCAGGGGTTTCAGAGAAATCTGGGGGTTCAATGTTCTCAAGTACATCCAGATGTCCCCTCTTAGGCATCAGGGTTCCAATCCTTTCATATCAGGGATTTGACTTTAGCATTGGTGATGCGTTAGGGCTGCCCATATTCTATCTTTCTTGCAACAATGCAACTCTTACAATTAGAATCTGGTTCTTATTCTCAGCAATGTCTGCCTTACTGCTGCAGAAGATGAGGGTCTCTAATTGTTGCTTTGGAGATCTTCTGGCTTTTGCTGTATGTCTCGAATTGACAGTTGGCTCTCTGACTTTGCCATTTTTTTCTTATCTCTTCTTCTTCTTCTTCTTCTTCTTCTTTTTTTTTTTTTTTTGTTTTTTTGAGACAGAGTTTCCCTCTATCACCCAGGCTGGAGTGCAGTGGCCCAATCCCAGCTCACTGCAACCTCCACGTCCCAGGTTCAAGTGATTTTTGTGCCTTGGCCTCCTGAGTAGCTGGGATTACAGGCACCTGCCACATACATAGCTAATTTTTGTATTTTTAGTAGAGACGGGGTTTCACCATGTTGGTCAGGCTGGTCTCAGACTGCTGGCCTCAAGTGATCTCCCCATCTTGGCCTCCCAAAGTGCTGGGATTACAGGCGTGAGCCATTGTGCTCAGAGTCTGCCATTTTTTTTTTCTTCAAGGCTTCCAAAGCAGTTAACAAAACCCAGATAACTCCACAGTCCTTATAATTACCACAGCTCCCACACTGTTCACATCTAGAGCTACTTCCACTCATACCTCATTTCAATCAACCACAGGTAAGAGTGTTGATGTGATGCCACTGCACCCCAGGCCAGGGTTGCTAAGCCCCCTATTTACCACCAGCAATGGAATCCTTGTTGGCTTCTGACTGGTAATTGATACATTCCAGAAACTCAATTGGATGGAGTTGCGGGGGAGGTCCCCTTCTTTCTACTGTCACTCCTGGTACCAATTTTCTTAATTTGGTTTTCTCTAAAAGCAGAGCTTGAAACAAGGACTTGTGTGCAATGGTTTATTTTAGATGTGATTCTAAGGAGCAGGTGTCAGGAAACAGAGAGGGTGAGTCAGGGAAGCAGGAAAAGTCAGTACAAAGGGTACATTGCCAAGTTTGTTGCTGCAGGCCATGGGGGCTCAGTTTGGCCAGGCCCTCCCTGGAAGTTTAAGAATGCCTCCCATAATTATCCACCTGAAGGACAGGAGGTTGAATTTTTATTGACGGGCTCCTATTTCCACAGGTTGTGGCTTCTCCTCCTGGGACATTAAGGCTGAACTCCTGGGCTGTGCTTGTACTAGAGCCAAGAGGTCTGTCACAACATCAGAGAAGTCGGGGACATAAAGAAAACAGATGTGAGGCCGGGCTCAATGGCTCACGCCTGTAATCCCAGCACTTTGGGAAGTCGAGGCAGGCAGATCATGAGATCAGGAGATAAAGACCATCCTGGACAACATGGTGAAACTTCGTCTCTGCTAAAAATACAAAAATTAGCTAGGTGTGGTGGTGCACACCTGTAATCCCAGCTACTTGGGAGGCTGAGGCAGGAGAATCACTTCAACCCCAGAGTCGGAGGTTGCAGTGAGCTGAGTTTGTGCCACTGCACTCCAGCCTGGCAACAGAGCAAGACTCTGTCTCAAAAAAAAAAAAAAAAAGAGAAAGAAAGAAAACAGACATGAGGTGCACACTTGAGGAAAGAGATCGGCACAAGATTTGCTGAGCTCACAAACAACGGTCTTTTGTAGCTGGGGCTGAAGTCAGAGGTGGCCAAGGGGAACGGGACATAGATTCCAGAAGCACCTGATATAGAAGGCTATTATAATCATCCAGATGAAAGATGGCAGGTTGATCAGCAAGGTAGGGTTGGGAGAAATGGTGGATTACAGTACCTTAGGTGGAGCCCAGGGGATTGCTGAAGAATTGGATAGAGATTATGACAGAGATGAAAGCATCGTGGATGACTCCCAGGTTTTTGGTCTGAGCAACTGGAGAATGAAGTTGTCCTTTTTTTTTTTTTTGAGACAGAGTTTTGCTCTCGTCGCCAAGGCTGGAATGTAGTGGTGTAATCTCAGCTCACTGCAAACTCCACCTCCCAGGTTGAAGCGATTCTCTTGCCTCAGCATTCTGAGTAGCTAGAATTACAGGCACCTGCCACCATGCCTGGCTAACTTTTGTATTTTAGTAGAGACCTGGCCATGTTGGCCAGGCTGGTCTTGAACTCCTGACCTCAAGTGATCTACCCATTTTGGCCTCTCAAAATGCTAAGATTACAGGTATGAGCCACCACACCCCTCCTAGAATTGTCCTTTACTTAAGAAAGTCTGTGGGAGAAGATTTGGAGGAGAATTAAGAGTTCTGTTTTAGACTGGGTGCAGTATACCTGTAATCCCAGAACTTTGAGAGGCCAAGGCAGGCGAATTTAGGCCAGGAGTTCGAGACCAGCCCGTCCAACATGGCAAAACCCCATCTGTACTAAAAATAGAAAAATTAGCCTGGTGTGATGGAATATACCTGTAATCCCAGCTACTTGGATAGCTGAGGCATGAGAACCACCTCTGGGAGGCAGAGGTTGCAGTGAGCCAAAATGGTACCACTGCCCTCTAGCCTGGGCAATAGAGCATGACTCTGTCTCAACAACAACAAAAAAGTTCTGTTTTAGACATGCTACATTTGAGATGCTTATTCACTTCCTAGGGGAAGTGGTGGTTAGAAGCTGGATATAAAAGTCAGAAGTTTTAGTCGGGCATGGTGGTGCATGCCTGTAATCCCAGCTTCTCAGGGAGCTGAGGCAGGAGAATCGTTTGAACCTGGGAGACGGAGGTTGCGGTGAGCCGAGACTGTGTCACTGCACCCCAGCCTGGGCGACAGAGTGAGACTCTATCTCAAAAAAAAAAAGCAGACGTTCAAGGGAGAAGTCGCACCTGAAGATATTTATTTATTTATTTACTTACTTATTTACTTATTTTTTTGAGACAGAGTCTCCCTCTGTTCCCCAGGTTGGAGTGGGGTGGTGCAATCTCCACTCACTGCAACCTCTGCTTCCTGGGTTTAAGTGATTCTCCTGCCTCAGCCTCCTGAGTAGCTGGGATTACAGGCACGTGCCACCATGCCCAACTAATTTTTGTATTTTTAGTAGAGATGGGGTTTCACCATGATGGCCAGGATGGTCTTGATCTCTTGACCTTGTGATTCATGCGCTTTGGCCTCCCAAAGTGCTGGGATTACAGGCTTGAGCCACCGCGCCCGGCTATTTTATTTTTTACCTTATTTGGCAATCTCAGAATCTCACAGAGACATAAATTTAAGCTGATGAGACTGGATGAGCTTAACTAAGGAGTGAGTGTGAATAAAGGTGTTGTGAGATCTGAGCTCTTGGGCATTCCAAAGTTTACAGTTCGGGAAAATGAGCAGTACTGTCCAGTATCTCGTCCTCTTCCACATGCCAGAGTCTTCCCATCTCCATTCACTCATCCACTCATCCATCAGACAAATCATCACGCAGCATGTACTACACACCAGGCCCTGTGCTAGGCTCGGTGGATACAGTGAAGAGAAGCAAGCAATTGCCTGGTATCAGGGAGCTTAAACTAAAGTGGGGAGGGACAGATAACGACACGCAAGCCAATAAGTGAACGAGGTGTCCTTTTCAGGGTTCAAATCCAGACAAATCCATGTAACGTAATCACAAAGGGATTTAGGTACTTAGAAAATCATGGCTCTGGAGTTAGACCATCCTGCCATTACCTGCACTACCAAATGACTGAGCCTGGTTGGAGGAAGTGAAACCAAGACTGAGCAGTAAGGGAAGTAGAGAAGGATGGGCCTGAGCTGTCTGGCCTTTCATGCTAGGAGTGAAGTTGGGAGGAGTGAACAATGACAGAGTCAATCCATAGTGCCAGCCACACAGGCTGATTAAAGTGTCACTGAGGGGCCGGGCGTGGTGGCTCACGCCTGTAGTCCCAGCACTTTGGGAGGCCGAGGTGGGTGGATCACGAGGTCAAGAGATTGAGATCATCCTGGTGAACATGGTGAAACCCCGTCTCTACTAAAAATACAAAAAATTAGCTGGGCATGGTGGCGCATGCCTGTAATCCCAGCTACTCAGGAGGCTGAGGCAGGAGAATTGCCTGAACCCAGGAGGCGGAGGTTGCCGTGAGCCGAGATTGTGCCATTGCACTCCAGCCTGGGTAACAAGGGTGAAACTCCGTCTCAAAAAAAAAAAAAAAAAAAAGTCACTGAGGAAATGAATGGGGAGATGAGAATGACAGGGGGTGAAGGGGTCTTTTAGAGAGGGAGTTAAGGACGTCCTCTTTGAAGAGTTCAGGTAGCATGCTCAGCACCCATTCTACTACAAATAATTACTTTAAACCAGGGAATCAACAGCAATCTCATCCCTCTTGCCAGTGACTGTTGTAGGGATGGGCACGTCTTCAGATCCTTTCCACCACACCTAGCTCATAGTTCATCCATCAACCTGCTCTGGCACAGTCCCTGACCAAGTCCAGGTATAGGTGCAGATATAGCTGTGACCTCGTGGTGCTGTGTGCCTCTTATCTTCTGTCTTGGGTCTTCTCTATTGCTACCTCAACTTAGAATCTGGGAATTCACGAAGTGCCCTGGCATGAACAACCCAGAAATGCAGGGAGAGTTAACGTTCCTTAGGGGAACCTTTGACCAATGTGGGGTGGAAGCCATAGGTAGATGCTTTCCCCAGGATACCCCAGGACATACCATCCTGAGGCACATTTCATATAGCTTCCCAGCGGTCCAATAGGTTAGAGTAACCAAACGCTTGTAGCCCTGGCCAACTGGAAATCATTTCTTTGTGGCTATCTGCTTCCCTGCTTTGCTCCTCTACCCTCATTCCTGATTCTCAGTAAAATACCGACACACCTGCTTTGTCTCAGGCTCTGTTTCCTGGGAACCTGAGGCTAAGGCAGCATGTGACTCATCCTTACCAATGACAGTAAAAGGGGAGGAGTGTTGCCGTGAGAGGCATTGGATAACGATTTCCTTATTCTTGCAAAGAAGATACGGGAAGAGATTGTCTCTTCTTCCTCCTTTGAATTTCGTTGTGCCTGGACATGATGTGGGGTATTAGTTGGTTCTCACACTGCTATAAAGAATTCCTTGAGACTGGGTAACGTACAAAGCAAAGAGGTTTAGTTGGCTCATGGTTCTGCAGGCTGTACAGGAAGCATGGCTGGGGAGGCCTCAGGAAACTTACAATCACGGTGGAAGGTGGAGAGCAGCAGGGTCGTCTTACATGGCAGGAGCAAGAGGAAGCAAGCAAAGGGGAAGGCGCTACACACCTTTTTTTTTTTAGAGATGGAGTTTCACTCTTGTTGCCTGGGCTGGAGTACAATGGCATGATCTCAGCTCACTGCAACCTTCGCCTCCTGGGTTCAAACAATTCTCCTGCCTCAGCCTCCCAAGTAGCTGGGATTACAGGTGCCTGCCACCACACTGGGGTAATTTTTGTATGTTTGGTAGAGATGGGTTTTCACCATGTTGGCCAGGCTGGTCTCGAACTCCTGACCTCAGGTGATCCGCCCACCTCAGCCTCCCAAAGTGCTGGGATTACAGGCATGAGCAACTGCAACAGGCCAGCTACACACTCTTAAACAACAAGATCTCATGAGCACTCACTCACTATCACCAGAACAGCAAGGGAGAAATCCACCCCCATGATCCAATCACCTCCTACCAGGCAACTCCTCTGACACTGGGGATTACAATTTGACATATTTGGGCAGAGATATAAATGCAAACCATATCAGTTGGGAACACTTGTAGCAATTGAAAGTAACCTCATTGATGGGATCCATCTGGCTGTCAGAAGGAAACAGAACAAGATCAAATGGGGAAATGCAGGAGAGTTCAGTGAAGGGCCCATTCGCCAGGGTTTGGGCATAGCGAAGGGAAATTAACAAGGAATGCTGAGCCATGTGCTGGGGCTATGAACAGCAGAGAATCACTGCCACTCTAAGGCCTGGGGGCTAAGGGAAAGGAAGAAGTGAGCAGAACCCAGAAAGAGCAGTTAAAAAGCGAGGGAGCCAGGTTCAGTGGCTCACGCCCGTACTCTCAGCACTTTGGAAGGCCAAGGTGGGCAATCCCATGAGAGCAGGAATTCCAGACCAGCCTGACCAACACGGAGAAACCCGTCTGTACTAAAAAAAAATTACAAATTAAGGCCGGGCACGGTGGCTCACGCCTGTAATCCCAGCACTTTGGGAGGCCGAAGCGGCTGGATCACGAGGTCAAGAGATCAAGACCATCCCGGTCAACATGGTGAAACCCCGTCTCTACTAAAAATACAAAAAATTATCTGGGCATGGTGGTGCGTGCTTGTAATCCCAGCTACTCAGGAGGCTGAGGCAGAAGAATTGCTTGAACCCAGGAGGCAGAGGTTGCGGTGAGCCGAGATCGTGCCATTGCACTCCAGCCTGGGTAACAAGAGCGAAACTCCATCTCAAAAAAAAAAAAAAAATTAAAAGTTAGCTAGGTATGGTGGTGCATGCCTCTAATCCCTGCTACTCAGGAGGCTGAGGCAGGAGAATAGCTTGAACCCAGGAGGCAGAGGCTGCAGTGAGCTGAGATTGTGCCATTGTACTCCAGCCTGGGCAACAAGAGCAAAACTCTCAAAAAAAAAAAAAAAATCAAGGGAGCCAGTGTGGAGGCTCATGCCTGTAATCCCAGTACTTCGGGAGGCTGAGGCAGGTAGGTCACTTGAGGTCAGGAGTTCAAGACCAGCCTGGCCAATATGGTGAAACCCTGTCTTTACTAAATATGCAAAAGTTATCCAGGCATGGTAGCGGACACCTGTAATCCCAGCTACTTGGGAGGCTGAGGCACAAGAATCTCTTGAACCTGGGAGGCAGAGGTTGCAATGAGCCAGGATTGTGCTGCTGCACTCCAGCCTGGGCAACAGAGCAAGACACAATCTCCACCTCAAAAATAAAAAATTTTAAATGTGAAGGGACCAATCAATCAGCAAGCAACCTGGCAGGGAGAGGTCCAGACCTCACTCTCCTCTTGCTGTCTGACCTCTGTCTCTTGCTATTCTTAAGGGTCAGCCTCTTGGGGCCCAAGGCAGGGTGGAAAGGGTGAAAAATTGATTTGAAGGGGCAGATGGGAAAATCAGTCCACTGATACAGGAGGAGGTTTTCAAGTTGCTATCATTGTGTTATTAATTCTTGAAATAGCTAGTCTTTTTTTTAAATAGAGTCTTGCTCTGTTGCCCAGGCTGGAGTGCAGTGGCACCGTCTCAGCTCAATGTAACCTCTGCCTCCTGGGTTCAAGCAATTCTCCTGCCTCAGCCTCCTAAGTAGCTGGGATTACAAGTGTGCACCACCACACCCAGCTAATTTTTGTATTTTTAGTAGAGACAGGATTTTGCCATATTGCCCAGGCTGGTCTTGAACTCCTAGCTTCAAGTGATCTGTCCACCTCGACCTCCCAAAGTGCTGGGATTACAGGCATGAGCCACTGTGCCTGGCCAACAACTAGGTATTTTGTTATCCTCTGTGAATCCAGATAAGGAAACTGAGTCAAAATTAATATAGAGGGTTGATTTGGGCCAAGGTTGAGGAATGCAGCTGGGAAAACACTGAGAAGTGCTCAAAAGAGAAGCTTGAGTTTTTAAAGAGGATTAATCAGGAGAGCGGCAATTACAAAAGCTGAATTTCAAGGATTCTCACTGGTTTACAGAAAGAACCCTGATTAGTGACTGGCTGTATGCTGTTGAGCTATAGGGCATGAGTTATGGTGTCCAGGCTATGGCGTTTTATGGCTACTTAGCATCAGACAATCTAGAGCCCACACAGCAAGTGGCTTCCACAGCTGATTACTTAGCTGGAGGGGGAGTGAGACGTGACTACTGTCACATTTCCATGCCTTTCTGGGCCTGATAATCTAAAGAGGGCTCACAGCCCGGAAAACACTGGGAAGTGCTCCAGAGAACCAAGGAGAGGCTCAAGTTTTTAAAGAAAAAAGGATAAAAAGTTGCTTTTCTTTTTTTTTTTCTTTTTTTGAGACAGAGCCTCACTCTGTTGCCCAGGCTGGAGTGCAATGGCGTGATCTCGCCTCACCGCAACCTCTGCGCCCCAGGTCCAAGCAATTCTTCTGCCTCAGCCTCCTGTGTAGCTGGGACTGGCACCCACCACCACGCCCAGCTAATTGTGTTTTTGGTAGAGACAGGGTTTTGCCATATTGGCTAGGCCGGTCTCGAATTCCTGACCTCAAATGATCCACCTGCCTCGGCCTCCCAAAGTGCTGGGATTACGGGTGTGAGCCACCACGCCCAGCCGAAAAGTCGCTTTTTTTGCTCATCTCATTTAGCAGATGAAGAAGTGCCACAGGTTGTGTTTTCTGGGAGCAGATGCTGGGGTGGAGAGAGGAACACCAGATCCACCTGTGGGGCGAGTGATGACCAAGGACGAAGGGAAGCTCCTCCAGAAAGGGACCAGAGATTGTGATGCTGACCTGACAAGGGCTCTGCCAGCCCAGGGGGAAGCCCCAGAGCAAGGCAGTCCATCGTTAGACAGAGGCGGCTGGGCCCTGGCACCATAGTCCTGCCTAGTCGTGGCTGGGAACCACCCCAAGAAGAGTGTGATCCCAGCTCAGAAGCTGAGACAAGCTTTCTCCAGAAACCAAAGACAGAATTACCGTATTATTCAGTGATCTCACTGATGAGTCTATATCCAAAGAAAATGAAATCAGAACCTCAAAGAGATATCTGTACTCCCGTGTTTATTGCAGCAGTACTCACAATACCCAAGTTCTGGAGTTAACATAATGTCTGTGTTAGTCAGGGTTTCTCCAGAGGGACAGCGACTTAGGGGGAACTGGGTCATGAAATCACAGAGGCAAAGTCCCACAAGGGGTCGTCTGCAAGCTGGAGAACCAGAAAGCCAGTAGTGAGGTTCAGTCCAAATTGAAAAGACTCAGAACCAGCGAAGCCCACCGTGCAGCCTCCCGTCTGATGCCGAAGGCCTGAGAGCCCCCAGGAGGCTTCTGGTGCAAGTTCCAGATCACAAAAGCTGAAGAACCTGGAGTCTGGTGTCCAAGGGCAGGAAGATACAGAGGCATCCAGCTCCAGGAAGGAGGGAGGGAGGGCGAGCTTGAACTGAGTATCCCCATTCTTCTGCCTGCTTTGTCCTAGTGGTGGGATGGGGTGGGGGGTGGGCAGCAGATTGCATGGTGCCCACCCACACTGAGGATGGGTCTTCTTCTCTCAGTCCACTGACACAGTCCTCTAGGCTGGACGCCATGGCTCATGCCTGTAATCCAGCACTTTGGGAGGCCGAGGCAGGTGGATCACCTGAGGTCAGGAGTTCAAAACCAGCCTGACCAACATGGTGAAACCCATCTTTACTAAAAATACACAATTTAGCCCGGCGTGGTCGCAGGCACCATAATCCCAGCTACTCAGGAGGCTGAGGCAGGAGATTCCTGAGTGGCTGGATGTCTGTCTCAACGTCCAGCTCAATGGAATCAATGTTGTGTCTCCTGGCAGAAACATTCCTTTCTCTGGAACTAAGACCTCCAGGACAGCAGGACATAAGGCCACCAGGGAGCAGGATGTGAGAAAAGTTTGCTAGTGGGTATACTGGGGTAATGGTGAGTGGTGCCACTCCCATTTCTAACTCTTGATTCCTGGACCCATGAATCCTGTTTATGGGAGACACAGTACCGTATATTGGATGCTGGTTCAGAGCATGCACACCTAGCCCTCTGGAGAGCTCTGCCCCAGTCCTGCAAAGCAACTGCAACTTCAAAAGGCTGTTCCATCATTCATTGAGCCAGCTGCTTCACGATGGTGGGGGACATGGTAGGACCAGTGAATACCGAGAGTGTGACCCTCCTGCCATACTTCCTTGACTGTCAAGTGAGTTCCTTGGTCAGAAGCAATGCTGTGTGGCATACCATAACGGTGGATAGGACATTCCACACGCCCACACATGCTAGTTTGGGCAGAAGCCTTGTGTGCAGGGGAAGCAAGTCCTTATTCAGAGCAAAAATGTGTTCCAATAAGGACAAAACGCTACCCCTTCTATGATGGAAGTGGGCCGACGTAACCAACCTGCCACCACGTAGCTGGCTGACCACACTGGGGAATGGTGCCCTACTGGGGGCTCTGTGTAAGTCTTGGCTGCTGGCAGGTTGGGCATTGAGTGGTGGCCAAAGCCCAGTCAGCCTTTGGTAAGTGGAAGCCCATGCTGCTGAGTACATGCTTAACCTCCATCCCTGCCACCATGGTCACTTTGTTCATGAGAATGATGGGGTAGCTGGGGAAACGGGCTGGCTGCATCCACAGAATGGTTCATCCTATCCAATTGATTATTAAAATTCTCCTCTGCTGAGGGCACCCTTCAGTGAGCATTCACATGGGACACAAATATCTTCACATCTTTGCCCCACTCCAAGTCGTCTATCCACATACCTCTTTCCCAAATTTCTTTGCCACCAATTTTCAAGTCATGTTTCTTCCAAGTCCCTGACTATCCTCCAAACCGTGGGCTATACAGCCCATGAATCAGTATATAATTGCACATCTGGTCATTTCTCCTTCCAAGCAAAGTGCCAGCCCAGCGGGAAACTCCAGAGAAAAGCGGTCCAGCATTAGTCAGAAATGGCTGGGCCCCTGTACCATAGCTCTGCCTAGTCAGTGACTGGGAACCACCCCAAGAATAGTGTGATCTCAGCTCAAAAGCTGAGGCAAGATTCCTCCAAAAACCAAACATAGACTTTGCCTACTAGGCCAGACGTGGTGGCTCACGTCTGTGATCCCAGCACTTTGGGAGGCCAAGGCAGGAGGATCACCTGAGGTCAGGAGTTCAAGACCAGCCTGGCCAATATGGTGAAACCCTGTCTCTACTAAAAATACAAAAATTAGCCAGACATGGTGGCCTATAATCACGCCTGTAATCCCAGCTACTCGGGAGGCTGAGGCAGAAGAATCACTTGAACTGGGAGGCAATGTGTGCAGTGAGCTGAGATTGCGCTATTGCACTCCAGCCTAGGTGACAGAGTGAGACTCTATCTCAAAAATATATATATATTAGGCCGGGCACGGTGGCTCACACCTATAACCCCAGCACTTTGGGACGCCAAGGCGGGTGGATCACGAGGTCAAGAGATCGAGACCATCCTGGTCAACAAGGTGAAACCCATCTCTACTAAAAATACAAAAATTACTGGGCATGGTGGTGCACGCCTGTATGTAGCCCCAGCTACTCGGGAGGCTGAGGCAGGAGAATTGCTTGAACCCCGGAGGCGGAGGTTGCGGTGAGCCGAGATCATGCCATTGCACTCCAGTCTGGGTAACAACAGCGAAACTCCGTCTCAAAAAAAAAAAATCAGTTTGTACCCCATAAATATATACAATTATAATTTGTCAATATTCAATTTTTAAAAATGTGAAGCTGACCCTGAAGGGACTGGAGACTGTCAGCTTAATCACACTCCTTGTACCTGAGCAGTGAGTCCTTTCTCAAAGGGGAATCTGAATGGCACATTTGCCATGTCAGCCACAGGGAGGTTCAGATAACTTATTCAAAACATGCTCTAATTCCAAAGTTAGTAGTTCTTGTCTGGGAGCCGTGGCTCACACCTGTAATCCCAGCAATATGGGAGGCCAAGGCAGGTGGATCACCTGAGAGATCAAGTTCAAGACCAGCCTGACCAACAAGGTGAAACCCCATCTCCACTAAAAATACAAAAATTAGTCAGGCAAGGTGGCACGTGCCTATAATCCCAGTTACTTGGGAGTCTGAGGCAGGAAAATTGCTTGAACCCAGGAGGTGGAGGTTGCAGTGAGCCAAGATCATGCCATTGCACTCCAGGCTGGGCAACAGAGCAAGACTCCTTCTCAAAAAAAAAAAAAAAAAGTTAGTAGCTCTTTCCAGCCATTTGGAAGGCTTGGATGGGACACTAAGAGGCAGTAGGAAGGTACTGGAGGCAGAATGCAAGGATAGGAGAGGAAGGACTAACAGCCCAACACGAGATGGGCTGACTTTACAATGCTGCGGTTCTTGCCCGCCAGCTTTGCACCTGCTATTGTGTGGGGGAACCAGGGCGAGCAGCCCTCCTTCCATTTACTTCATCAACACAAAAGGCTAACGACACAGCTCAAAGGTTTGGGTGAATGCGCAAAGACTCTGGCAACAGCA